CAAGTTTCATTTTTGAATTACAATATTCTTGAGTTGATAAGTTATTGGTTGAAAACTGTCTTTACATACAAGTTCAATGTGACTTTGACCTTTGACCCTAAAATCAATAGGGGTTATCTACTGGCCAAAACCAATGCACCTGTGAAGGTAAAGGGCCCTTGAATTGTTGAGATATTGATAAGAAGCGTTTTTACCTATAAGATCAAAGTGAGTTTGACCTCTGACCCCATGACACCAAAAATCCATTGAGGTCACTTTCTGAACAAAAACAATGCATCTGTGAAGTTTGAAGGTCAACGGTCCATGGGTTTTCCAGTTATTGATAGGAAACCGTTTTGATATACAATGTCAATTTGACCTTGACCTTTTACCCTTTGATCCCAAATCAAAAAGGGGTAAACTACTTGTCATGACCAATGCACCTACAAAGTTTGAGGGACAAAGGCCCATGTCTTGTCAAGATGTTGATCGGAAACAGTTTCTACCTACAAGGTCAATATGACCTTGACCGTTGACCACTTGACCCAAAACACGATAGGGGTCATCTACTTGCCAATACCAATGAACCTACAAAGTTTGAGGACCAACAGCTCATGACTTGTCACGTTTTTGATCGGAAACCATTTTAACCTACAAGGTCAATGTGACCTTGACCTTTAACCTCTTGACCCCAAAATAAATAGGTGGTCATCTATTGGCCATGAACAATTATCATACCAAGTTTGAAGTTCCTAGACCTAAGTGCCCTTTAGTGAATGATCGGAAAACGTTTTTACCTACAAGGTCAATGTCACCCCAAATCAATAGGGGTAATCAACTGGTCATGAACAATCATCATACCAAGTTTGAAGTTCATAGGCCTAAACATTCTTCAGTTATTGATCGGTTTCAGATTTTACCTCTGAGGTCTTTGACCCCTTGACCCCAAGATCAATAGGGATCATCTACTTGTCATAAACAATCATCATATCAAGTTTGAAGATCCTAGGATCTAAACCTTCTTAAGTTATTGATCGGAAACTGTTTTTACCTACAATGTCAATGTGACCTTTGACCCATTGACCTTGAAATGAATAGGGGTCATTTACTGGTCATAAACAATCATCATATCAAGTTTGAAGTTCCTAGTCCTAAGCATTCTTTAGTTATTGATCAGAAACCATTTAGTCTACGAACCGATCGAATTGTCTGCTAGAGTATGACATTATTATATACAAAAAGGCAATTTGACAAACATGCAATACAAAGTAATCTATTATAATGCATTTTAGGAAAAACATTGCAGTCTCAGGAAAGAAAGCTTTAAAACAATTATCATCATCTACAACATCCATGGCATCAGATGAAGATCTTCAAATTTACTGCCAGCCTTGTGATGAGGAAGGACCTAGACTCCCTGCCCATGGTTACTGCACTGACTGCAAGGAACACCTTTGCCACACATGCTTTACAGCCCATAAAATAAATAGGCTTTCAAAACTTCATACACTTCAGAACGCTACTAATATGCCTAAAGTTTTGCAGCAGCCCTCAACATCCATACACACAGGTCAGTCTGATGTCCTAACCACATCATGTGTTAAACATCCACAAGAAATGATCAAGTTCTACTGCAATGACCATACAGAATTTCTTTGCAGTGTTTGTATTACCCTTGAACATCAAGTTACTTCCTGCAAAGTCAACTATATACCAGACAGTTCTGGTGATATTATAGACAGCAAAGAATATCAAGTTATCTTGAATGCAGTAAATACCACTTCTAACAAATTTCAACAGATGGTAGAAGATATCAAGAACATGACATATAAATCAAATAGCTCCCTCAAAGATGCATTCGTTGACATTAAAAAGTTTCGGCAAGAAATCAACCAAAGACTAGATGAACTTGAGAGACAGGCTGAAGATGCAGCTGAAGTCATAGAACATTATAACAACAAACATCTGAAAGCAGTAGAAGAAATTTGTGAAGTTATAACCAAATCTTTGAAGATATCAGCAGACAAAATCAAACAACTGAACACATCACAACAGGCCAACAAACTTTTCATGGAACTTAAACTTGCAGAGAAAACAATACAGAATGTGGAGGGAATAGCACAACAATTTTTATCGTATGATATCAAGGAACACAAGTTTCAATCATCTGATAGAATATTAAATGTGTTTAAAAAAAAGAAGTCACTGGGTACACTGAAAACTTTTAATAAAGACTGTCAACCTAAACAGATAAAGTCTAGACAGTCTTCATATGAGGGAGAAATCTGTGTGAAGACATCAAAATATAGTTTGGATTGTTATATAACAGGAATGACTCTTCTGACTCCTGATCTTCTTATCATCACTGACTACAGAAACAAAGCTGTAAAGATGGTGGATACCAGCAGTAAATCTGTGTATGATCAACTACAACTAGATGCTGAACCATGGGATATCACCAGAGTAACCAGTACTGAACTTGTTGTCTCACTTCCAGACATACAAACAATACAATTTATAACAATCTCATCAAACAAACTCATAAAGAAGCACACTGTGAAGGTTGATGGAGACTGTCGTGGTATTAGCTGTTACCAAGATAAACTTGTTGTGGCATACTGGAATCCTGCAAAACTTCAGATACTTGATATGAATGGTACCATACTGACAACAATTGATGGGATTTTCAGTTATCCATCCGGTGTCATCAGTAACAGAAGTTCTATCTATGTATCTGACATGAAGGCAGTGACAAGATTAAACTGGCAAGGTGATGTGATAGGTAGTTATAGTGGTGTGAGATACCCTAGTGGAATGTCACTGTCAGATGATGGTACTGTCTTTGTGTGTGATACTGGGAGAACTGTTATAGAAGAAATATCAGGAGACTGTTCAACAGGAAAGGTGGTGCTGCTGGATCAAAGGCAAAGAATTAAATCAAACGCTGTATGTTGGTGTGAAAAAACAAAGAAGCTGTATTACACCTGTCATGCACAAGACAACTTCCTTCACATGTATAAACTGTCGTAGAACAATACAATTTTAACTGTATTATCAAAATAAGTTAATACCTAATTCACTGCATATGTTTGTTCTTTTTCGTACATTAAAGTGGATAGATCTATAATAGGTACATTTTTCATTAGTGTTTTAACAAGAACTGTCAGAGGACAGTAACGCTCGACTATTCGAAAAGTTGTCACATGGGTGTTTCACTAAGTATAATAATGCTTACCTATATGAATACATAAAATTGTCCGAAAAGGTACAAACCCTTCAGTTATTATGAAGATACCAGCTTATAAACAAAAATTTACCTAGAATTTCTTCGTCTTAGATAATCACAGAGAAAAAGAGTGTAAAGTTTCAATCCCCCTTAGTTAAGATACCGTTTCCCCTTCCCCGACAAAAGGGGTTGCCTGCATTAGTTTCGTTTTAATTCTGCAAATATTTCGGGGTTTAAAAAATTAAATTGAAAAAAAATAGGAAGGGATCTTTTTGGAAAAATTGCTTTAAAACTTTGCTTGGGGGAAAAAGTGTTGTTAATGTTCTGAGTAGTATTCATGGCATTAAACATTAATATGATGAATAATAATATTTTGTTATAGAACATTTTTATTATCTGCAATATAAATATGTATGTATTATCGGATCATATGTCTTACACCTGCCAACAAGATCCACATATGATTCTAATGTGGTTTGTTGAAATATCTGATACTAAACACTATCAATATAATTATTTTTTGTATTTCAGACCAAACATTATAGACCGATTCACTTTAAGTCATAAAAAATAAAAATTGGTTTTGATATAAAAACATATAACAAATTTAGGAAAATATTTTTAATGGAAGAACTGCTTAAAAATGTTTAAAAGCTTATTTGATTTGGTAACATATACTTTAATAAATGTTAAGGATAAATTATCTGAGGAAATCTTATGCTGAAGCATTTAATATAGTGATTAAAATGCCTGTCAAGAGTATGAACATTGGTAATTTTTACAATCAAAAGATCATCAGGGGTTGCCCAAAAGTATTACTTTTAAAAATTTTTTTGGGAAGATAATGTAAAATGCCTTTTTGGAAATTTTTAAATTAAGGCTTTAATGGAAAAAAAGTGGGACAAAGTTCTTTAATTTTTGAAAAATTTACATTATTTCGTGGCCCACTAATATTTTTGGTTATTAAAAAAAAAAACATTATTTTTTTGTCCCCAATATTTATAGCTTGAACTCAAAATTTGTTTTTGCTTCTCAGGTGATTCTTTTGATCCAACAGAAACCAGTGATTTCATTAGAACCATTAAATTCTTTGTATAGTTTGTTTTTTTAAACCCATTTGGTTTTTAAAACCATTTTTTTCCCCATATCAATTAGTGACTTCAAAAGCAACCATAATGCACTTGTCTCTTTATTGCAACCAGTGAATTTCCTAAACAACTATTGATCATTTATTTCGATAGCAACTCTTTACTTTACATATCAACAAGTTACTTTCAAAAACAGCAATTAATTGTTGCAATGGCAACAATTGACTATTATACAAAACCGTTGATTTTCCATAGCAATCACTGGTGTTCCATTATAGCTACATTTAGTTCCATTGACGTTTTCATGCAATAACTGACTTCTATAGGAACAACTGCTTTTCCATTGCAACCAGATACTTTTATAGCAAAAACTGACTTTTCACAGATACTAGTGACTTCCCAGAAGCCATGAATGTTCAACTTCAATCAGAGACTTGTAAAGCAACCATTGACTTTCCATAGCAACAAGAGACATTTCATAGCAACTATTGACTGGATACCTTCCTTGCAATCATAGTTATCAATGTAATGGACCCCTCCTGCTTTCCTTTTTAAAAAAACTGTTTTTTTTTTATTTAAAAGGTGTTGATAAACAAAAAAGCTTTAAATTTTCTAAACCCTTAAAAATATAGAGGTTTTTAAAAAACTGTAAATTTTTATGTATGAAATCTATTTCTTGGGTGAGGCTTAAAAAAATAAAAACATAGGGAGTCTTGCATACAGTATTGCCTATTTCTATACTGCTGAAAGTGCTTGTGTCATAGCTATTTATACATACCTGACCCAGATGAGAGCATGGTATCACCGTATAGATCTAATGCTAGATAGGAATACGGTATACCAAACACCAGTATAATAGCACCAATCAGTATTACTAGCTTCAACAAACATGACATCACGTCAACAGCTAACTGACACGATTCCTGAAATAATATATGACATCATTGTACTTTCCTTTACTACATCACATTAATTTTGTATATCAAATGTTGTAAAATCATTCTTTTCTCATTTTGCATTGTATATAATAGGCTGGTGGCCTTATTATCAAGTATATATGCTGCTGATGTTGTTGTTATTTGTTCTTCAAGTAAATCATCATGATGTATTTCTTTTTATCACATACCCGTGCTGTATTTGTGACTCCGTAAATATAGTGTTGCACGACAAGCATATATTTTGACGTGACGTCATTTGCGTTTTATAAAAATAGCTTTAAGATGCGCAAAATGTTAGCGTTATACTATAGGCGGGTCAATGAAAAAAAGGTTCGTTTTCACTTCAAACGGTCTTTACTTTTGGTATATGAAAGGTCTTTACTTTTGGTATATGATAAAAAGAATATTAAATTCGTGTAAGTTCCTTATTGAAATCGTTAAATAAAATAATATTATCCGTGCCAGAGGCTCGCATAATGTAATTTTATTCAACTTATTCAATAAATTCAGTATTGAACCTACACTAATTCAATATTCTCTATTACCAATGTTTGGTATGAAAGGCATGTGACACATTTATTTTCATTATTATTGTGGATGACTTCAGGCTTCAGAAAATCCTTTGATTATGATTTAAATCCTTTATGATAGAAACGACTTACAGTGTTAAACATACTATACAACAGAGTCAGATTGGAGATCAAAATAGCTAAATATTAACCAAACTTTAACATCCATTACACAGTATCAACAATTGAGATAGTTCATAAATCAAAATAATCTTCTGTACATTAATAAATCACCTGTTTTTGTTTACTGACTTGTTCCCCTCTTACTAAGAGCTGTGAGAAAAACAGGTAACCACTTTCTTCTATGGGTTGGAATATAAAACGTGCAGCCATGGATCCAAGATTGTTCACTATATCATATATACCTACAATATAAACAATCAGAATTTTATTACAAATTACTGCAACTATAATTTTGTTATCAAATTCTAATCTATTGGGGTCCTTCATGAACAACAAAAATAATGTAAATAATTATGGTTAAACGAATAGTCCAATTTTCTCTAAGCTAAAAATGAAAACAATCCAGCTGATATTTGGTTTGGTCATGAGATTTAGCAGTATATTGAACATATTCTTCATTCAAAACATAACATTAATTAAAGTAGTACAAACAATGTAGTCAATGTTCTGCAGTAGTATTGGAATCAATGATTTTTTTTATAAATATACATGTAATTTACACTAAAGCACAGGAAAGAGATAATTTGAATGGCTTCCGTATGGCACTAAACATGTCTTTTGCAATTTACTTGTTTTACCCAAAAAGTAGTGCAAGTCAATGTGGCACAAAACCACTGACGTTCCATAAGCAAATTACAGGTTGCTTTATTTCTGTATATTAATATACATTGGTTCAGCTATATTAGCTTTATCATAGGTAGATACCTATAAATTTTGCATAACAGATATATTGTCATTGTGGTAAAATAATATTTTAATTTTAGCAAACAAACAAACCTTGATCTGCAAAACTTAAAACTCGAAATATAGTCATAACATACTTTTCACCTGAAATAAAATTTAAAAGAAAATTCAGTGTCATAATCAACTAAATGTGTCATTAAATCGACTCCGCTTATGACGAACTCAATGGGACATTTAAATATCGTTCGTTATATCCGAAGTTTGCTAAAAGCGAAGTAGCAACAACTTGCTGACTTGTTTGGGTGGAAAGATTTGCCGTGTCACTAGTTACAGGTATAATCAGTATTTAACGGCAGCGGTAATTTAATGCGGGTCATTTTATTGAACAATATATTATGTACATAAAATTATGTACATGTATTTAGACATGTAGTACACGTCTATAAAGTGCTTACCATTTGTATTTTTACTATTTAATTCTTATTGTTTGGTTAATATTGCAAACAAAAAATCGGTTATTTATCGGGTATTTACAGCAATTTATCAACTGAGGGTGCGAAATATAAATTTTCCGTAACAAGTAGGAAATAATTTTGTAAGAACATTTTATCAAAATCTTTATTCCTACATGTGCAATCACTCGACTGAATAATTATCGGATAGCGGTATTCATGTACTGATCTTAATCGAGAGCATCCCGATATTTCAATTATAACAGTTTGTTTTAACCGAGGATATTTACATGTTTTTCTTCGTTTGGGAGTTGAAAAAAAGTTGTTCGCTATAGCCGAAAAATCGTTTTAAGCAAGTAAGTACTAAGCGATTTGATTAATATAAAATAAAGAAGGAATCGGCCGGGGATGTCAGATTTAGTTCGCTATTACCGATAATTTGTTATAAGCGAGTTCGTTATAAGTGGAGTCGACTGTCTGTTATTCAAATTCTTTTTTTAAATTATTGCCATATATCAGTTCTGAATTTGAAGATCAAAGACATAAATTATAAAATAAGAATCCAATGATATATGAAGTTCTATGTTATACTAATGGATAACCAATATCACTATGCCTTTCTTTTTTTTATACTTAAAATTTCAATGACAGCACCAGTCCATGTATCCATGTAGGAGCCTAGAGGACAACAGGGGAAATTAGAGGTGCTTTTGAATGTTTTGTCTGCTAGATGTCCCTGAATTGCCAGATTAATTGTTGGGTGAATTGGCAGTAATTAAAGCATTTGATTTTCGTTTAAGAAATGTTGTTAAAAAAGTGACAACTTTTTCGGCGTGGTGCCCCATCAAAATGATACATCAGGGGGTTGCCAGAAGGGGGATGTGCCCCTCATCTGTTTAGGGGATTTGAAGGGGCGGCAGTCCCCCTCATCGCCAAGAGAAAATGCACTTGTGAAAGGCTAAAAATGACCCCAGGTCGATCATAAGGTAATGTGTAACCAACGCTGAAAAGCCTTTGACTCTATCTCATTCCATTGAGAAGTTCAGCACTTTGAAATCAATTTTGATGGAAAAAACCACTGCAAATTAGTGATTTTTGGCAATTTTGAGATGTCCCCTCGTTGCCATGGTAACAGGAAATTTAAGACTGAGCATGTTGTTACAAAGGCGATGGTCCAGTCATCATTTGTGCCAAGTTTGATTAGTATTGAAGCATTTTTCATAGTTCTTTAGCAGTTTGAACTTGAAACAGGAGGCTTTTCAATGAAAACGGCCATTTTTACACAATATGCTCATGAGGGAAAGGGTTTTGAGAAAAATTAAAAATGCTACAAAACAACAATTTTTCTTCAAAATTATATCATGTATATGTCAGGCCATGTTTTAACATGGAAAACGCGATTTTTGGTAATTTCAGGTATTTTTATCATTTTTTTTGTTTAGAAATGCAGTATTAAGTCAAACAACTTTTGCACAGATTTACTGTAACCTGCCTCCCAGTCATAATCAGTATTAACAGCATATTCAGTAGATGTTATAATTTTAGTGTTTTTTTTCAAATTTGTATTTTTTCCCAAAAAAATTATATCTACAATTAAATTTGTTTCTATATAACAGTTAGTAGAAATATGTCATCATATCATTTAAGACTTATTAATTAAGTTACCATTCAGTCAAAAAAGTAATATTTCAGGGCTGGACCTAAGATATTGTTTTCATTAACTGTTTTCAACTTTCTTTTATATGTAAATTATTATACATTTATAATTGCTTAAAATATAATATAATATAATGATGTTAATTTACATATCATATACAATATATACAAGAATAAAACTTGCTAATGCTCGCGGCTTCTCATACAAAATAGATGTAAATGTGTCTGCAATTTGTGATATAACAATAATATTACCAGCGGCGTTGAAAATAATATTTCATAGAAAACAATCAAGAAATGATAAGTTTAATTGCAAAGATTCATGGAAACCTAAACCTAAACATTGTCATTCAGATCCATGTAGTCTTGATGTCTTGTGACTTATGATGTCCCAGTGTTGTATTACTTGTGCATGCTTGCAAGTATTGATCTTGTTCTTCATGTTTTATGTCATTCAGAACAGAACACCTTGCCGATTGACCATACTTAATAATGATCAAAGTATGTCAAATATGGTCGAAAAGTTTCAAATATATCAAAAACATTTAACGTATTTTATCTGGTTGAAAATCACTGTTAGCAATGTTATAAAACAGGCGTGAAATGGTGTTATAATGCAGACAGTAATTGGAGAGTGTCAACCGAAATTACGAGCATACTCTTTTAAACTTTGTAGCACCTCTAATTTAACAAAGTTTTTGCAATAAGACTTTAAAGAACTTTTTGGCAGAGATTTTTCTAGGATTGATTTTGATGACCCCCACATTTTTTTTCTGTCCAAATTAGAAAAAGACTTCGTTAACTGGAAGGATAATGATAAAACCAAGACACAGCTTTGAATAATAAAGAATCTATTTAATAAGATATTTAATTTTAAGCTTTTTTATCTTTTGAAAAATGCAAAATATCCAAGGGCAGAAATCAAAGAGATTCCGGACACAGCAAATGCCAGAGTTTTCTTTCCAAATGTGAACTGACAAGCGTTGTTACTTAGATTCTGTGTAATGTCGTCATCCATTTGCCCTGTGGAATCTTTCTCGCGAATGATTTCATTTCCTGAAATATATGTGACATTGTTTACATATCAATATTGAATGTAATGTAAAATATGTTCAATATCATAAACAAAAAATAAATTCAATTAAAAGGTTAAGTAACAAGTATTTTGCTTAGAAGAGTGCGTAGAGAAATTCAACAGAAAATCAATATCATATAAGGCATACGTTTTGTTTTTACAATATGAAATTTGGCTCCTCCCTGTAGGGAGCTAATTTTTTAAGAGTAACGAAATAAAGAATAGAAAACTTTATCTGCAAAAAGGCTTTATGACCAAGACATTTAAATAGTACCTGAAATATCGTTGTTCTCTGTTACGCGTGGAGCGTTGCTGCTGTCCTTTGTAGCACGTGTAACATCGTCCTTCTCCTTTGTAGCACCTGCAACGTCGTTCTTGTCCTTTGTAGCGTATGCAACGTCGTTCTTGTCCTTTGTAGCGTATGCAACGTCGTCCTTGTCCTTTGTAGAACATTTGAGGTTGTTGTTTTCATTTGCGCTTGAAATATTATCATTGATCACTGCAACACTTGGGACGGTAGCACGTAGTGCGTTGTTATTTTCTGTTAATACTGGAGGGATGGTGTCGTTCTCTTGGCCACTATGAACGGAATTTGTTATCTTAACAGCAAAGTAATCATTGCTTATGTACTTTGTAGCACCTGGAGATTTGTTGGTCTTCTGTGCAGCACAAGGAGTGTGAGTGTTGCTTTTTGTTACATGTGTTGGGATATCCGGGCTGATATCTGCTCCAGTTTTGATAATATCTGAAAAATTGTTATCGATTTAAATGTCAAACTAAGAACAATCACTTAGGAAATTCAATATATCAACAAGTGGGATAAAAATTTAATTCCAACTTTATTTATAGCGCTTTATAAAGTTAATTTAAAGTATTTTAAAGAAATTAAAGGCAATCACTGCGCCTTTACTACCAATATGCACTTCATTTTACAAATAAAAGTTCTCTATATCTCTAAATATCTTGAAAGAATTGTCACAACTTTAGATTGTCTTATATAATATAAACTATATACAATGTATTTCAGTATGGAATCCCTTTATTACCCACCCTCTTATCACTAAGATACATCTGTAGTTGTTAATATAAGAAGAAAAAACAACATACCGTCTGTTTTGACTGTGGCAGGTACCATTCTTTTACAATGTATCAGCCCAATGTTTCGTGGCGGCACGTATTTTGGAGGGTTTTTGATTTTTGGTACGACAAAGCCTACTTTATCTGCACGTGGAATATTGAGACTTGGCACGTGAAATGTTTCCTTCCTGCCTACAGATGGCGCTGGGCAATTATGTTCAGGGTATACTGCAATGATTTAACATGTACATGTACTAATCATTAGCATAAAAGTTAAAGGATTGTGTGAAATTAAGTAAAATAATTATAATAATAATTGAGTGAAATACATGTATGGAATATATTTTTACCCAATATGATATCCACGAGCCGGAACAGGGAATGAAATACAACATATATAATTTAGTTTCATCATGATAAGCATCCATACTGCACGAAATACGAAAAAAAAAACTTTAAATTTAATTTTACCTGTAGTTATTTACGAAAAAAATCCCATTTGCTACACAGTTGAAATTGTACATATCTAAATAATTTCTTATAATGAAATGAATTATAGCTGAAGCTACTAACTGTCACAGAAAAAAAAATTAACAGATCATCATCAGAATGGACACAACTTTTGATATCAAAGAAGGGACTGAAATGTTTAATATAATACATGTATTTAAAATGATTAATGAATGACAAAATGGTTTGTTTAATTCGATCATCGAAAGACAGGTAAAACTGTACCTTCTTTTCCAGCAAATGCTGTTTTGTTGTATGTATGTTCCACCATTATTGGATGCTGACCAATATATATCGTATGAGGCGTTGTCGATTCAATATCAACCACCTTTCCTGTACATGATCTAACAACTAAAAACTTGTAATTCACGAAACTGTCCTTGGGAAGCCTTAAATATAAAACATGACAATGGTTTTGAAACTTTTATTGACAGGTTATTATCTGGAGCTGAATGTCAAATGAAGATGCTTTGTCTAAGCAACCCAGGGAGCCACGATTCTAAGACCTGATCGCTAGTTTTATAACAATGAGGTATTATTGAACAATCTTTCAATAATTTTGGTATTTAGAAATTTTTTAGAAACCATTTTGGTATCTACAAAAATCTCGAATGACTACCCTGATGTGTTGTAAAGGAAAAATACTGTTATTTTGAATGAAACGAAGAGCTGTTCTGCGATTTGTGACGGTTAGAAAATAAATAACATTTTTTTGGCTTTTAGACATATTTGTTATAAAACCTACCACAAGTCTTTCTCCCAAACGTTACGCCCAATAGGTTTGCATCTTGGAGCAATTTCGGGGTTATCATTGCCAAGTTGAATGCCCGGATCGACCACGGCTACAAAGTAGTCATTTGCCCCACCCGGATAACATTCTAGAGACTTGAACACCCCAAGTTGTACTTTCACCTTATCATTTCTTGTTGATGTCATCTGTGAATATATAATATACAATGTCAAGATGTGCTGACTACAATAATATTATATTGTTGTCATTTACTATAAACTTTCCTAAATCATTGTAGTATGAAAGGTATATGGTAACTTTTACAAAGCAAATAAACTTATTAATTTAAGCAATCCGGCTGACTGGACTAAATAGTCCGTGGACTGGATTGGAACTGACTGATGTTACACGCCCGTTAGAAATTTGGAAATGTTCAGTTCAGGGTATTTCATTCAATTCAAACAAATATCAATATATGAAATGCACAAACTGAGACTAATTTCTCCGGTTATATTATAGTATTTACCCGTATTTTGGTTTTATACATGTATAGTTTCATTTGAATTAATATCTAACGTCATTGGCTAACAATATTAGGTATGGTTCTTTCTTATTTTAGCCAAGAACTGCAATTAATGTAAATTCTTGTAATTCAAAATATTGTTAACTTAGTGTAACACATATATATTTACAAAATATTACATTATCCTTACCTTTAAGCATGAAAGTCTTCTAAAACATTTAAATATGTTGACTGAAAGAAAACTCGTCTGTATAGCTCACGCTTTGTTAGCTTGTAATAAACGTTAATCATATGGAAACAACGTAACGTTAATGACGCAGCGACGTAAATGTTTATGACGTCACCAATATTAACCGGATCTAACCCGAGCCGCCATTTTATATAGACCCGCTGGAATTTTACACGAGTCAAGGGACATGATATAGGGAAGCCTGTGACGAGATTAATATCATTTCTAAGAGTTAAATGTATGTCTATATGAAATGATAACGAATTTTTATCACGTATTATAATACTGCACGTTTGTAACGTCGCTTTTCATTGGATAATCGTGACGTTTATATAGTTTTATATACACGGCTGCTGTCGGTTTTTATGTAAATCTCGCTATATTCTTCTAAAAAATGATGCTTGCTGTATTATAAATTCGTTACAAATATTTCTGACAGGTTATATGGCCGTATTTATAGCGGCTCGGGTTATATTAACAAACAACAGTTTATATAGGGCCATATAACCTATCAAAAATCTTTATAACTAATAATATAAGGCCAGAAAACTGCTAAAAACGGCAAAATCTCCGTTAAACTTCATATCATATGAAATATGTGTAATATGAAGAAATACTCATTGGCTATACTTTTACATTAAACGATATCATATGATAATCTTTCTTTCAAAAAATATGATACCTTTTTTGCATTTGTACAAAAAAATTGGAAATTTTCATTTAAAGTTACAGCACACAGTACAAGTCGAAAGAGTGGCATTTCACAACAGATGACTAAACTGGGAACAAATGGATTACAATGTTGGTTGGCGATGTATACATACGTGTGAAATCGTAAATAAATGTTATCTGGTGCTTTTACATAGCCTAGGGTGACCGTTAAGGAAGCGGATAAGTTGTAATATATAATGGCATTTGTATGGTGGCTGATTTACGCCATGTCGTATTTTCGCTTCTTCGCCTCAAAATGCGAAAACGAGAAAACACGAAGGGACGACAAAGTTGGACTTTGTCGTGTTTTCGCTTTTTCGCATTTTCGAGGCAACAAAGCGAAAATACGACAGAAGGCGAGCGAAAATACGACACATAAAATCTGTCGTATATTCGCATTCCATCTGTCGTATTTTCGCTTTTTCGCGTTCAAAATACAAAATGCGAAAACACAAAGAGCCGACGTATCACTTTGTCGTCTCTTCGCATTTTCGCCTTTTCGCATAATTACATTTTCGCATTGTTACATTTTCGCTTTTTCGCATTGTTACATTTTCGCGTTGTTATATTTTCGCATTTTCGCGTTACATTATACCATGTTGTCAGGCGTTCCTCGGGTCTTTAAAACAAAGATCTCTTGATGGTAATTCTGTCTTCCCCATATTGCACGAATATCAGTAAAAGGAGAACAATAAAAATTTATAGAAAAAATGAATACAACATATCTTATATAGGACTATTAAATAATGAATTGATGTCTCCATGCGCATGTACAACCGAAAATGCGAAAATATAACAATGCGAAAATGTAACAATACGAAAAAGCGAAATGCAACAATGCGAAAATGTAACAATGCGAAAAAGCGAAAATGTAACAATGCGAAAATGTAACTATGCGAAAAGGCGAAAATGATACTTTGTCGTCTCTTTGTGTTTTCGCATTTTTGTATTTTGAATTTTGTATTTTGAACGCGAAAAAGCGAACATACGACAAATGGAATGCGAAAATACGACAGATTTTAAGTGTCGTATTTTCGCCCTCCTTCTGTCTTTTTTTCGCTTTGTTGCCTCGAAAACTTTGTCGTGCCTTCGTGTTTTCGCTTTTTCGCATTTTGAGGCGAAGAAGCGAAAATACGACATGGCGTAAATCAGCCACCATATCAAACAAAGTTGTTTCGTCAACCCGTCATTTCGTCAACTGAATTTAAATTGTTAACTTTTTTAATCATTATGAGTAACAATTTTAGCGGTCAAGAAGTGAAGATAGAGATAGAGGGTATGGGTAAGAGCATCGGACTAATCCGTCGTGGGTTCGAATCCAATTAACTTTGAGATTTTCTTTGGACTTCCACAACCGTGTGATTACTTATTAGGTAACCAACGATGCAATCAGCTAGCGTAAAAAATGGGATATCTTTAAATATCATTTGGTTTAACAGGTCACTGAATAAGAGGCAGATAGTTTATTTTATGGTGTTTCACTTAATTTTTTCAGATGCATTAATTCTTTATATGGTCCTCATGATGTTGATAGGTTTGCTAATTCTCATAATCATAAACTGGCTAGATATAATTCTTTATTTTGGACGCCTGAAACAGAGGCTGTTGATAATTCTGTCAAATACAACGACCTTAACCTATAATGTTTGTTAACCACTATGCTAATACGCTGAACGGTTAAAATGAGTAATTATTTTGGTGATTAAAGATTTAGGCGATAAAATAATATGCTTTTGTTATTGGCAGGAAGTGAAATAAAAGTGTGGACTTTAATAAAGCCTAGCTTATTACACAGCGATTATAATTGTTTGTTTTTGTTTGGTTTGGTTTTTCGGCACACAAACACAATTGAGGTCATACGGCACCGAAACAGGAAAGTCGATTTGGGCTAGCTTCGAAATCTGAGTACATATATATACGCGATATTCTATGAAACACAGGAACGTTCGTTCAAATTGATATTTTAATATTTTTTCGACTTGTTTATTTAGGTAAGTCTTGAGCATATTGATGGACAGTTGTAGTACTGTATTTTACAAGCTCTGTCTACTCCCGCTAGCAGCGGCTTAAGTAGAACATGAAAATGGTTTTAACTTAGGAATTTGAAAGTCACAACAAACACTCTAAAATACCATACATGGACACATGAGAAAAAAAACCCTGACAGATTCCTCACAAAAGAAGCAAATATTTTCTATGAATCCATTTTCACATCTTCTTCCGCCATTGACTGTCATGCAGGATTTTTACAATGTTAGTATTTATTAAAATATACTTATCGCATATTCATGCTGCTTTTGAAACTCTGTAAAAACGATATAAACGGCCGTGCATTTGTGAAATTTAGCGCAGTAAGACTTAATAATTTCTAGAAGGGATAGTATGCATTTGTGTGTGTTTGTGATACTTTTTGTCTTTTTTCATAATTTGAAGGGATCACAATTAAACCAAGGCTTAAATTTAGATTATATGAAATCTATTGACAAATAATTCTCATTTATCTAAGGTTTACAAATTTATCTGCTGAAAAAAGCAAAATATCCAAGGGCAGAAATCAAAGAGATTCCGGACACAGCAAGTCCCAGGGTTTTCTTTCCAAATCTGAAGAGACCGGCGTTGTTACTGAGCTTCTTTTTTTTTTTTTTAATTTTTCAGCAACATATGTTGCCCATTTATTTTCCCCGTAATTGGTGCAGTGGGGTCGGAGAGCCATCCCCTACTGTACCTTACATTATCAATTCATGGCATATATCATCATACTATATTTAAAACATTTAAGTGACATTAAGCTCATTTTTTTTTCAAAGTCAAGTTGAGATTTATTGACTATAAATTTCATTATTGACAATAATAATGGTGCTTGACAACAGTTGATATAAGAAAAAGTTTTGGATAAAATATATATCTGCCTAAAACATAAAGACTGTCCCATACTTTTATTAAGTATAATTTTTCCCTCTACATATATTTCCAAAATGTTCCTTGAGCCATAAGAGTTATGGAATATATTGAAAAACTTAGACGAATCATGGCAAAAATGTATTTCAACTTTCACTGTTTATATTCACTATTTGCTTTGGATGGGCATAATGTCACTTTAACTAAATAGATACAATATTGATATGCTAAAATAATTATTAATAGCTAAAATGGGGTTTTTGTGAATTTTTAAAGTAGTCTATTGCTGAATTTACATTTTCCTTTATATTCGAATTATATCTACAAAAAAAGACAAAGTAAAAATAACCTCGTTTTAAAACAAAATACTAAAGATATTACTACACAGCAATGTTGCATATTCATGTAAGTTATTGAATTTAATAAAGCAACAGGTATATGGAAAAGGCAAAAACAAGTTTGAGGTTAGAATTCATCTAATTCAGAGGAAAATGTTTTCATTTACCTATATAAGTCTTCTCTAAAAAGTAAAAAAGAAAAGGTTGTTGGTGTAAACTTGGAGGATTTACTTCCAAGTTATTAATATTCTCTAAATATTAGTAGAGGTCACTGATGGAAGGTCTGTCAGGTAAGTAGAGTGTCTTAATAATATTAATAATTAAACAAGGGGTGTCTACTACTTAAAAATATCAATAATTACATAGTCTCACTAACTTACTAAATTTTTAAACATTTCCCATGAGCGTTCAAATTTTTCATATTGAAACAGCTGTTTGGCACTGTATTTTTCAGTAGTATAAATAGAAACTATTTGTTTCTTAAAAATTTCCAAAGAAGGCCTTATTTTCTTCAATCTGTTATAGTATATGTACTGTTTTGCTAGCAAAATAATCTTATTTAGGATGATGTTTATATTAACATTCCCAAATAAGATATCAAAATTACTCCAATTAGTGAAATTTATATTACATTTTTCTTTGATATATGATTGTAATTGTTGCCAAAATTGTTTAATAGTTTCACAATTACAAAACAAATGTATTAAAGTTTCTGGCTCATGTTGGCAGAATGTACAGTCATTTTCTGTAATAATATTCATTTTTTTAAGAAGATAGTTTGTGGCTAAAATTCTATGGTTGATTCTGTATTGAAACCAGATCAGTTTTGGGTCTTTTGTTACTCTAAAAACATTACTATATATTAAATTGAAATTCAAGTTATTCATATCGCCTAAACTTATTAATTCATTTTTCCATTTTTGCAATGAATTTGGGTATTCTTCCTTCTTTTTTATCATTCTATATATAGATCTGCATCCTTTTTTATCTTTATTTATAATAGCCAAACCTAAAGGAATGTGGATATTGAATGATTTCTTAGGTAAATGTCTTATATTATTATTCAAAAGAAATTCATTTACTGCAGCTAAAAAACCTTGATATTCCAAATAATTTGTTCTAATATTGAATATACTAATAAAATTTTGCCAGGTGTAAAATTCCCCTTCTTGATTGATAAGGTCCCCTAAAAATATTACTCCCCTAGATACCCATCTGTTATAACAAACACTAGATCCTGCTACTTTAATGCCGGGGTTATGCCATAAATTGACTGAGTAACTTTGCTGACAAGAATTCAACTCTACATTTGAAGAAATTAAATAAAAACTGTAAAGCACATCTTTCCAAAAAGGATTTAAATCTTGATGTAATTGTATTCTTGCATAATCTGTACCATACTTATATATGTTATTTAAAAAAGGGCATGCACTTTTAACAATATGTAAAAAATTACAATTAACTGTCAACAGTCTTCTTAGCCATGTTGCTTTTAAACTATACATAAAACACTTGAGATCAACCATCTTAAGCCCTCCAAACTTGTATTCCTGTGATATAATATTTCTTTTAACCTTATCTCTTGAATCACTCCATAGAAAATTGAAAAACATTTGCTGGATAATATTTATTTTTGCTAGTGGTGGGTTAGGAATACTCAAAATCAAATGATTTAATTTTGACAAAGCAAGGGTTTTAATAACCACTAATTTGCCGAGTGGCGTTAACACTCTTTTTGACCAGCAAGCAAACAACTTTTTAATTTCCTCAATTTTTGAGTCATAATTAATATCAACTATATTAGATAAATCTACTGAAAATTTAATTCCAAGAAGTGTGAAAAAGTTATCTCCCCATGATAAATTGTATTCTGGACAAAGTATTGTGCTACTGTATTTTTTTGACCCAAACCAAATTACTTTTGTTTTCTCCATATTTATATTAAGGCCTGAAATGTTTGCATAAAATTTTAAAGTTAACATTGTGTTTTTTAATGATTCTGACGTGCCATCTAAGAATAAACTAGTATCATCAGCATATTGAGAGAGTTTGTACTCTGTACCATTAACACTAATTCCTTTTATATTATTATTATCTCTTATCAATATTGACAGGATTTCTGCGCAAAGAATGAACAGGTAGGGAGACAGAGCATCACCTTGACGACAGCCTCTTTGTAGCGAGAACCAATCTGACATGTGACCATTAACAATAACACATGACTCTATATTTGTATAAAAAAGTTTGATCCATGATCTAACAGAGGGTCCAAAATTAAAAAACTCTAAAACTTGATGCATAAATTTCCAGGAAACAGTATCAAAAGCAGCTGCAAAATCTATTAATAGTAACAATCCAGGTATATTATTCTTTTCCGAGTAGAACAAGAGATCATAAACTAATCTTATATTTGTCGCCATGAGTCTTCCGGGTAAAAAGCCTGTTTGGTCATCGTTAATGATCTTTCCTAAAATATTTTTTATGCGAAAAGCTATTGAAGAAGATGCAATTTTATAAGATACATTTAGTAGTGAAATTGGTCTCCAATTTTTCAAGTAGGATTTATCTTTGTTTCCTTTTGGAATGCAGGTTATAACACCTTGTTTTTGAGTTACTGACAGTTCACCTATGTTATATGCATGATTTATTGATCTAACTAAAAACATACCTAAATCATTCCAGAAAAATTTAAAAAATTCTACAGTAAAACCATCATTGCCTGGACTTGTATTATTTGACATGCGTTTCAGACTATTCAACATTTCATTGTAAGTTAGGGCACCTTCAATAGATTGTTTCTCATTATCTAGTAATTTTGGTATGTCAGTATTATACAAAATTTGACTTAAACACACTGTTTCTGTATTTTTGAATTTATATAAATTTTCATAATGCCTCTTTGTTTCTGTAAGTATTTCTTCCTGTTTTTGTAAATGTTTTCCTGTTTCTGTTATTAAAGAATTCATAAATTTTGAGACATAATTTCTGTTTTCCAAATTGCAAAAGTATCTTGTAGGTTTCTCTCCTTCTTGTATCCATTTAGCTCTTGATCTTATAAATACACCATCCATTTTTTTCTTCCGTAAATCTAAAAGTTCTTTTCTTTTGTTTTCTAAAAGTTCATAATTAGTGTTAGGATGGGACTCAATATCCTTTATTTCTTTTAAAAGTTTATCTTCATTATTGATGTTTATTTTTTTTCTATGAGACGCATAACGAATGGTGATTCCTCTAATAGATAAAAGAAGAGTTTCAAAAAATAACTGGTCATTAATGTTGAACTGAAGTTCATGAAGCGGAACATCATTTATATTTTCATTAATGTTGGAGGAATATTGAATTTTTGTTTCTTTAATAACTTTTTAAACTTCATTTACATATGCTACTTCTTTTAATAAAGAATTGTTAAACTTCCAGTATGATATTCCTTTTTTAAATTTGTCTAAATCGAGTGATATATAAATTAAAGAATGATCCGTTCGGTAACCCGATAAAATTAGTGAACATTCAAGATCTGTATACAAATTATCAGAAATGAGAAAAAAATCTAAGCGTGCCTTTTTAACTGGATTTCTTCTAAACCATGTGTACTCTCTTTTTTCTAAATGATTTTCTCTCCAGCAATCTAAAAGATTGAATTCTGACATAATATTAAAAACTTTATCTCTAGCATTAGGATTATTTAAATGAACATAATTAAAGCAATCCATTTCTGGGTTTAGAATCAAATTGTAATCTCCCGCCAAAATGAAGAGAGAATTTTCAAACTGTGACATTTTGTCATGAACCATATGATAAAAGTCTGGACTATCTCTATTAGGTCCATACACATTTACAAGACTTATATTTTTTTCACATATTTTGCAATTTAAAATCAGCAAATTCCCATTATTGTCCCGGTCAATGCTATTAATTTTACAATCAAAATTATTGTTTATAAATGTTGCTACACCTCTAGACTGGCTATTAAAATTACTAAAATAACATTCATATCCCCATTGTGACCTGATATACTTTTCTTCTGGTTGAGTGAAGTGAGTATCTTGTAGCATACATATAGAGTATTTTTTTGCATTCAAAAAATTTAATACATCTTTGCGTTTACTTCTGTCTCCCAAACCTTGTACATTCATTGAAACTATTGAAATTTTATTACTCATAGTAATTCATAATTCCTGACAAATAGTTTTTGAACCTCTTGAGAAATAATATAATGTAAAAAGCACTTTGAGTGAAAAAGGATATTGTCATTGCTGTAGAACCCAAAAACCTTAAAGGGAAAACCTCCAGACAGACCGTCCATCATTGAACCAGTAGTATAAAACAAAAGCATGAGATGTATTTTCAATATGCTGTTTGAAGGAGAAAAGGTGGATAGTGATATATCTCAACTAAAACTACAGTTGTTACTGAGCTTCTTTGTAATGTCGTCATCCATATCCCCTGTGGAATCTTTCTCGTGAATGACGTCATTTCCTGAAATATATGTGACATTGTTAACATATCAATATTGAATGTAATGTAAAATATGTTCAGTATCATAAACAAAAAATGAATTCAATTAAAAAGTTTAGTAACAAGCATTTTGCTTAAAAAGGTACGTAGAGAAATTCAACAGAAAATCAATATCATGTAAGGCATACATATTGTTTTCACAATATGGAATTTGGCTCCTCCCTCTAGGGAGCTAATTTTTAAAGAGTAACGAAATAAAGAATAGAAAACTTTGGCTTTATGACCAAGACATTAAAATAGTACCTTGTATATTTATGTAGATAAATGTAGATTTGTATATAGAAAACAGTAAATATTTTTGTTTAAATATACTTAACATGGAAAAAGCTTAAACTGTCTTAGATAGGTCAACTATAAGCTTGTTTTGTTTCCGTCATTTTCTGAACAAAATGTAAACATTCTGTAAATAGTGGGTACACCTAATAACTGAAAGTTATTCTGAAATTGTATGATAAATACAGTTTTAAAAAGTTTTTTTCAAGATTACTGTCCCCTATTCCCTTTATTGTCAAATATGTTCAACTTTGTTAACTTTTATTTTCTTTTGTTTTTGTTTATTATTATTATGATGTTGTATAGTTTTTATGTTATTTCACCGCCAAACCCTGTTTACTTATATGTTAACTCAATGACCCCGCTTACGCTTGTCTTTTATGTACTTATGTTTTATATATATCCTAATGGGTAATGATATTATGGCATGGCGAGCATCTGTGGGGTCATTCAATAACATTCAGCAGTTCATACGGAAACGCTCCGTCATTTCATACAGTAAAATTAGCCGTTTTTGTATTAATCATACAATTGTTTTACTTTTACTAATAATTTCATCTTTAAGCCTGTTTTTCATCACAAGCGAGAAAAATCTTGAAATACGAGGATATCAGCCTCAAGCGACGCTTGCTCTTTTTAAGCTGTGTTATCTTAACGCTTTTAAAACATATATTAGCCTTAAGCACTAAGTTAAGGGTATAGTTACATTTATATACTTTGTGATTCTCATAGTCAAAAAATGTACTGATCAAAAACGTAAAGTAATTTTGTTAAGTGGAAAAGGTAAAGAATACGGTTTGGTATGTTACAGTCCATTTATACTATTGTGTTATCTATTATGATCTTTTCACTTAAGTTATTTTGCACAAATCTTAAAACTTTCTGTAGAATCAAACCCAGGTCCTATTTTTAGCAAGGAAAATTGTCTGTCAATTATTCACCAAAACATTAGAAGCATACGCCTTAAATTTGAGTATATTAAGGAAATGTTTTTAGAAACTGATGTGTTATGTTTTACTGAGACCAAATTAGATTCTAATATTGAAGATAAAGAATTACAATTATCAGGTTTTTATTTCATGTTTCGTAAAGATAAGTCATGCCGCTCGGGAGGGATTCTTGTTTACGTTTCGTCTTTTCTTAGACCCAAGCGAGTTATCTCCTTTGAAAACATAGTTCCAGATTCTATTTGGATTGAAATGAAAGATAAAACTCAGACTTATTTATTACGTACATTATATAGACCTCCTCACTATAGAGTTGACTTTTGGGACAAATTAAACTCGTGCTTAGAAATGGCTCTGGAACACAAACAACACTTAATATTAGTAGGAGATGTAAATGAAGATCAGCTCAACAAGCAAAATAATAAATTTAAAGATATACTTTTGACAAATAACATAAAAAATATTATTAACATCCCGACTAGGGTAAACCATAATTCGCAAACTCTTCTCGACCCTATCGCATTAACAAACAATATTCAAGTTTTTGATTCAGGAGTTCTTGAAACAGATAATGAAATAAGTGACCATTATGGAACATTTGCTTATTTAAAGGTTAATTTCGATTCAAATATGCCATTTAAAAGGAAAATTTGGAACTATAAGAATGCAGATTTTGTTAAACTTAATAATTTAATAAGAGATACTGACTGGACTTTTATTAATAATTTAAATATAAATGAAGCTTGCAATACTTTTACATTAAAATTCCTGGATTTAGTTAATCAGTGCATCCCGTCGTATTTTGCATTAATTAGGCCAAAAGATAAGCCATGGTTTAACAGTAATATTCGTAAAAGTTTAAGGCAGAGAGACAGATTATTTCACAAAGCAATAAATAGTAATAAAACATCAGATTGGACTAAATACAAACAAATTCGGAACAAAGTAAACAATATGAAGAAAAACGCAAAAGAGTTATTTTACAATAGCTTAGAATTTTCCTTGCATGATCTTAATAGCTCAAACCCTCGACAATATTGGAAAATAGTTAAAATGTTAGTTAAGAATAATTCAGCTGAAAGCGATTCTATACCACCTTTAAGAAATAATAATAACACATTCTCCTTATCAGACTTAGACAAAGCCAATACTTTAAACTCTTTTTTCAGTTCAATCTCTCAGTTGGATGATTCACATACCCAGCTTCCAGACTTTAGTTTCAAAACAAACTCAAAATTAGAAGCCTTTAATATTTGTGAACAAGAAATAAAAGATGTATTAACAAATTTAGTTATAAATAAAGCTTCTGGACCAGACGAAATAAGCCATAAAATGTTGAAAGAAACTTCGGAAACCTTATGTATTCCACTGTGTATACTTTTTAACCATTCGTTAAATGAAGGTTACTATCCTAGCAGTTGGAAACTTGCACATGTTATGCCTCTTTTTAAAAAGGGTAATAAAGATGAACCATCAAATTATAGACCAATTTCATTAATATATGCTGTGTTGGCAAAGTAATGGAACGCATAATTTTTAAACATATGTATAATTATCTACATACAAATTCTTTAATATATCAAAATCAATCTGGGTTTTTGCCAGGTCATTCTACAGAGTATCAACTTATTGATATATATAACCAAATTTGTAAAGCATTTGACAGCAAAGAATCTACTTGTATTATTTTTTGTGACATTTCGAAAGCATTCGATAGAGTTTGGCATTCTGGTCTCATCTTCAAAGTAAAGCAATACGGTATACAAGGGAAACTAAATACATGGTTAAAAGACTACTTAAATAACAGAACCCAAAAAGTTTTTGTATCTTCGACATTTTCTTCTTTATCAACTCTAGAAGGGGGCGTCCCTCAAGGCTCGGTACTTGGTCCTTTATTATTTTTAATTTATGTCAATGACATAGCAGACTCGCTCTTAAGTATTACTAGACTTTTCGCAGACGACAGTTCTCTTTCTGTGTCCTCAAAAAACATAACCTTTATGGAAGAAACGTTAAACAGGGATCTAGCGACAATAACAAGTTGGTCTAAGCAATGGTTAGTCAATTTCAATCCGGCAAAAACCGAAGCAATGTTTTTTTCTTTTTTTAATATGATCAAACCAAAATTATTCTTCGATAATGTACAACTCAATTTTGTCGAACATCATAAACATCTTGGGGTCACATTTAGTCAAGATGGGTCTTGGCATCAACATATATCCAACATAGTATCTAAAGCCTCTAAAATACTCGGTTCCATGAAAATGCTCAAATTCAAAATTAAAAGAGAATCACTTAATAATATATATGTATCATATTTACGTCCACATTTAGAATACGCGTCTTTAGTCTGGGATAACTGTGCGCAATACGAGAAAGATACATTAGAAAAAATTCAATATGAAGCTGCCCGTGTTGTTACAGGATTGACAAGATCCGTTACTATACAAAAATTATTAACAGAAATAGGTTGGGTTTCGCTTTCAGATAGGAGACATATTCAAAAATTAGTTTTAATATACAAAGGCAAAAACAATTTATTACCACTTTATTTAATACAATTATTTCCCCCATCTGTACAATATGCACATGAAAACCCATATTCTTTAAGAAACAATCAAGACTACGCATCAATTGTCAGAAGAACAGAAATTTATTCGAAATCCGTTTTACCATCAGCACTACAACTATGGAATAAACTTCCAATTAATATACGTGAATCAGATTCCCTCCATTCCTTTAAAGCAAATATTAAAAAAATATTTAAATCCCCATCGGTCCCTTCATTTTTCATTAAAGGTGAACGCTTCTCTACTGTACATCATACTCGTTTAAGAAATAATTGCAGTAACCTTAATTCAGATTTATATGATAATCACATTGTTTCAAGTCCATCTTGTATATGTGGAGCACTTATTGAAAATTCAGAACACTATTTTTTTAAATGCAATTTATACAGTGAACAAAGAAGAACATTGTTTTTAAATACAAGATCTTTTCATCCTCTTAGTGTACGAAAACTTTTGTTTGGAATAGAAGGGCGATCTGAATCCGAAAATGAAATTCTTTTTAAAGAAGTACAGATTTTTATTAAATCAAGCAAGAGATTTAATTGAATAAAATCAAATATTTTACTGCTGAAACAGTACTTTAAGATTAAGCAGGGTTTTGTGCGGTGAATATTTTTGTATTTATTTATTTATTTATTAATAGTATTATTATTTTTTTATTTTTTCAATTTTTGTAACAAATACAATAATTTTGTTATTCATTCTATTATTTATTCCTTTTTCTCAAAATTTGATACTTAGAACACGTTATTCAAAAGCTATAAATAACTTTAAATGGAACACTATTGACTTTTGAAACTTATACTTTATACGTTTAAAATATTTAAATAACTTAATCTAATCACTCTTAGTAGCATAATTTTATTATAATGCTTATCTATATTTCTATTTTATATATATATACCTTTGTTAAATGTTCATTTGATTAATTTATATTTACATATAAAACATTTGTTAAAATTAGTTCATGAAAATTAGTATCTGAAAATTACATAAAACTGAAATTGATAATTATTTGATATCACACAAATTTATTCAAATAGTATAAACTTAATTCTGACTAACCTCAGGGAAGGGCCCACGATAATGTTGTTAGAACTTTTGGCCCAACCCTTTTGTATGTACACTTGATTATGTCTGTAAAATTATTTAATTGTATATTGTGTGTATGTTTATACAATAAAATATTATTAAACTAAAAATAGTACCTGAAATAGCATTGGTCTCTGTTGCGCGTGGAGCGTTGCTGCTGTCCTTTGTAGCACATGCAACGTCGTCCTTGTCCTTTGTTGCACATTGGAGCTTGTTGTTTTCATTTGCGCTTGAAATATCATCATTAATCTCTGCACCAATTAGGGCTTTGCAGTCCTCTGTAGCACGTATGGCGTTGTTATTTTCTGTTAATCCTGGAGGGTTGCTGTCGTTGTCTGGGGCACTTTGAACGGACTTTGTTATATTAACAACAAGGTTATCAGCGCTAATGTACTCTGTAGCACCTGGAGATTTGTTGGCATTCTGTGCAGCACAAGGAGTGTGAGTGTTGTTTTTTGTTGTACGTGGTGGGATATCCGGGTTGTCGTCTGCTCCAGTTTTGATAATATCTGAAATTTTAAACTTTTTCATAGTTATCGATTTAAAAGTCAACTAAGAACAATTACTTAGAAAATTCAAAATATCAACAAATGGGATAAAAATTTAATTCCGATTTAATTTGTAGTGCTTTATAGAGTAGATTTTAAGTCCTTTAAAGAAATTAAAGGCAATCACTGCGCCTTTATTACCAATATGCACTTAATTTTCCAAATAAAAGTTCTCTATATCTCTAAATATCTTGAAAGAATTGTCACAACTTTAGATTGTCTAATATAATATCAACTATATACAATGTATTTCAGTGTGGAATCCCTTTATTACCCACCCTCTTATCACTAAGATACCTCTGTAGTTGTTAATATATGCATAAAAATAAAGGCAACATACCGTCTGTTTGACTGTGGCGGGTACCATTCTTTTACAATGTATCAGCCCAATGTTTCGTGGCGGCACGTATTTTGGAGGGTTTTTGATTTTTGGTACAACAAAGCCTACTTTATCTGCACGTGGATTATTGAGACTTGGCACGTGAAATGTTTCCTTCCGTCCTACAGATGGCGCTGGGCAATTATGTTCAGGGTATACTGCAATAATTTAACATGTACATGTACAGATCATTGGCATAAAAGTTATTTGATAGTGTGGAATTAAGTAAAATAATTATATTAATGTCATTAAATAGATTGTTTAGAAATTTTATAAACAACTGGTTAGAACATTGTTGTTTTTCGCTTGAATATATGGAATATCTTTTTACCAAACATGTTAAGATTCTATTCATAATTCACGAGCCGGAACAGGAAGTGAAATACAACATATATAATTTAGTTTTATCATGATATGTGCAAATATATTCCATATTTCACGAAATACGAAAAAAATAACCTTTAATTTTAATTTTACCTGTAGTTATTTACGAAAAATTCCCATTTGCTACACAGTTGAAATTGTACATATCCGAATAATTTCTTATAATGAAATGAATTATAGCTGAAGCTACTAACTGTCACAGAAAAATATAAACAGATCATCATCAGAATGGACACAACTTTTGATATCAAAGAAGGGACTGAAATGTTTAATATAATACATGTATTTAAAATGATAAATGAATTAAAATTCGATAATTGAAAGCGAGGTAAAACTGTACCTTCTTTTCCAGCAAATGCTGTTTTGTTGTATGTATGTTCCACCATTATTGGATGCTGACCAATATATATATTATGAGGCGTTGTCGATTCAATATCAACCACCTTTCCTGTACATGATCTTACTACTAAAAACTTGTAATTCACGAAACTGTCTTTAGGAAGCCTTAAATATAAAACATGACAGTGGTTTTGGTGGTTTTATTGAGGAGCGCTGAATGTCAAATGGAGATGCTTTGTTTAAACGACCCAGGGAATCACGGTTCTAAGACCTGATCGCTAGTTTTATTACAATGAGGTATTAATAAACAATCTTTCAATAATTTTGATATTTAGAAATTTTTAAAAAACCATTTGGTATCTACAAAATTTTGAATGACTACCCTTATGTGTTGTAAAGGAAAAGTACTGTTATTTTGAATGAATCGAAGAGCTGTTCTGGAATTTGTGACGGTTAGAAAATAAATAACTTTTGTTTGGCGTTTAGACAAATTTGTTATAAAACATACCACAAGTCCTTCTCCCAAACGTTACGCCTAATAGGCTTGCATCTTGGTGCAATTTCGGGGTTATCATTGCCAAGTTGAATGCCCCGACCGACCACGGCTACAAAGTAGTCATTTGCCCCACCCGGATAACATTCTAGAGACTTGAACACCCGGAGTTGTACTTTCACATTATCATTTCTTGTTGATGTCATCTGTGAATATATAATATACAAAGTCAAGATGTGCTGACTATCATAATATTATATTGTTGTCATTTACTATAAACTTTCCTAAATCATTGTAGTATGAAAGGTATATGGTAAATTTTACAAAACATAAAAAGTTATTAATTTAAGCAAACCGGCTGACTTGCTAAGATAATCCGTGGTCTGGATTGGAACTGACTGATGTTACACGCCCGTTAGAAATTTGGAAATGTTCAGTTCAGGGTATGTCATTCAAATCAAACAAATATCAATATATGAAATGCACAAACTGAGTCCAATTTTTCCGGTTTTTATACATTATAGTATTTACCCGTATTTTGGTTTTATACATGTATAATTTCATTTGAATTAATATCTAACGTCATTGGCTAACAATATTAGATATGGTTGTTTGTTATTTTAGCCAAGAACTGCAAATAATGTAAATTCTTGTAATTTAAAATATTGTTTACATAATGTAACACATATATATTTACAAAATATTACATTATCCTTACCTTTAAGCATGAAAGTCTTCTAAAACATTTAAATATGTTGACTGAAAGAAAACTCGTCTGTATAGCTCACGCTTTGTTAGCTTGGAATGAACGTTAATCATATGGAAACAACGTAAGGTTAATGACGCAGCGACGTAAATGTTTATGACGACACCAATATACATCGGATCTTTCTCGAGTCGCCATTTTATATAGACCCGCTGGAATTTAACATGAGTCAAGGGAAGCATGTGGCGAGATTAATATCATTTCTAAGAGTTAAATGTATAGAGGATTGAATGAGTGTAAGTTCAATACTGAATTTATTGCACGAGTTGAATAAAATTATATTATGCGAGCCTCTGCAATAAATTCAGTAATGAACTTACACGAGTTTGATATTCTATTTATCACATACCCAAAATAAAGACCATTTAAAGTGAAATAAGAGTCATTTTTCATTGACGCGTCTATAGTATAACGCTAACATTTAGCGCGTCTTTACACTATGTTTGTATTACGTTAATGACGTCACGTCAAAATATATGCACGGCCGTGCAATACCATATTTACGGAGTCGCAAAATCGGCACGGGTGTGTGATAAATGTCTATATGAAATGATAACGAATTTTTATCACATGATAATCATATAATAATCTTCTTTCATTAGTGCAAAAAATATGGAAATTTTCATTTAAAGTTACAGCACACAGTACAAGTCGAAAGAGTGGCTTTTCACAACAGATGACTAAACTGGGAACAAATGGACTACAATGTTGGTTGGCGATGTATACAGACGGGTGAAAACGTAAATAAATGTTATCTGGTGCTTTTAAAAAGCCTAGGGTGACCGTTAAGGAAGCGGATAAGTTGTAATATAAAATAGCACTTGTCGTGTGGTTGGTTAGCGTCAAATATTGTTGTTTCCTCAACTCGTCATTTTGTCAACTGAATTTAAATTGTTAACTTTTTAAATCATTATTGTATTTTGAATTACATGTGCGTAAATTCGAACAAATATTTGGTAGTTTGAACCGAACAATTGTATTGAAGAGTTTATAGTCTGTGAAGTCTGCGCTGTCTTATATGCTAGTGCAGTGATTCCACCCACGTGCAATATAATAGTATATGTGTAACAATTTTAGCGGTCAAGAAGAGAAGATGGAGATAGTGGGTATTTGCTTATGGGTAAGAGCATCGGACTGATCCATCGTGGGTTCGAATCCAATTAACTTTGAGATTTTCTTCCGACTTCAACAACCTACACTAGTGCAATTACATGTCAGGAAACCAACGATGCAATCGGCTAGTGTAAATAAAAACGCACGTCTAGGTCATAAACGTGAATTAAACATAAATGGGAAAACAAACAAACAAATAAACAAAGGTGTCTGCCTCGAACCCGATGATCATTTGTTAAGTCAAACTTTGGTCACCACTTTACTTCCTCAAATGACACCACCCCGGTAAGCTCAAGGAAGCAGACTTGTGCGTGCTTTAAAGTGACATAAGCACTCCTCGCCGCAATAATAGATTAATGGGAATTAGGGTTGGGTACCTTCGACGTGTAAATGCAGTCAATGGAAGATGTGAAAATCATGTTGAATTATTTTATGTAAGGAAGTTCTCGGTGGTTCTTCTCGTGTGTCCCGGAAGAGTACGTTAATAATGTCACTTTATGGTCCTTTACAGTGTTTGGTGCGACTTTACTATCAATACATTAAAAATGTAATATAATGAAACTTATATTCAACATGCGACTCTATTTTTGCTCTTTTTCAGTGTATATTTCAACTATGCATGTATTTTATATAGTAAAATTTCTACACATGCCGACATAAGTCAAGACTTATCTCTCAAATAAATATGTCGAAAATGTAACATTTTAAATGACCGTTCCTGGGTTTCAGGATTCGCAGTTATTATCGAATTCTAATCAATCCTGCATATTCCTTTAACTACATGGCTATAGCAAAGGTAAAAAAATTTTCTTTGATTTTGTCAGAGATTTTTTTTTACTTTATTGCATTTTAAAATAGTACTTACAATAAAATACCATTAATATCTTATGGGCCGTATACCGCTTAAAGTCAAAATATAACGTTTGATTGAATACAACGACGACAGGAAGGAGAAGAAGAAGCAATAAGTAGAATATATTTATCCTATTTTTCGTTATTTATTTTGCATATAATATTAATAAATAAACAATTCAATTTAAAACAAATATAGGTACTCGGCATACGTAACAATTCAATTACAATAACATTTAAATCGGTATTTGCCTATTTGAGCCGCGCCATGACAAAACAAACGTAATGGGTTTGCGACCAGCATGGATCCAGACCAGCCTGCGCATCCGCGCAGTCTGATCAGGATCCATGTTGTTCGCCATCAGTTCCTCTACTTGTTATAGGGTTTGTGAGCGAACAGCATGGATCCTGGTCAGACTGCGCGGATGCACAAGCTGGTCTGGATCCATGCTGGTCGCAAACCCATTATGTTGGTTTTGTCGTGTCGCGGCTCATTTATATAATTTTTTATAATACTGCACGTTTGTAACGTCACTTTTCATTGGGTAATCGTGACGTTTACATACCCTGGCTGTTGTCAATTTTCTAAGAAATCTCACTTTTTCTCAAAATAGGAGGAAGTTTGCTGTATTATAAATTCGTTATAAATATGCTTGACAGGATATATGCAAAATAGGAAGTTTGCTGTATTATAAATTCGTTATAAATATTCTTGACATGTTATATGACCGTATATAAATGGTTGTTTGCAATATTGTTTGCTCGGGTAATATTACAAACAATCGTTATATAGGACCATATAACCTTTCAAAACTTTTCATAACTAAGAATATAAACATTAGGCAATACTGCAATATCTTTACACCAAACACCAATATATGACTTAATTAAAACACCTGCATACTCTTTATAATTAATTACGAAATTTAACATAATCTTTAAACGTGCATGTGCTTATAGAAAATGTATAATATATCTGGTCATTTCACAGTAATACAGAGTCTAGAAAAAGGTGCTTTAATTTGCTGATAAAGTGAAATAGTAGTTTTAAAGTAAAACATATATACCAGTCTTTTGCTTACAAAAAATTTAACATTAGCAATATGGCACTAGATCAAAATTCATATAAATCTAAGAATTTCTTAACAGTTTCATAATTTTGGATTTCACAAAAAATACAAAATTTGGTAAAAAAACAATTTCTTTCACGGAGTACTTTGAATGTGTATACAAGTAATAATCAGTATTGCAAGTATTAGTAGCATATTCTTCATAAACATGTACATTTTGTTGTATAATACTGTGAATTCACTTAAATTCGTGGGCATGAAATTTCGTGGTTTTGTAAATAAAGATGATTCATATATTAATGGACTGTCTATATATGCCAAAAAGTAAAATGCAAATATAAATATAATAAAAAATAATTCTGGACAGTCTTCTTTTCGCAGCGAGGACCCATGGGGTGTCGTTTCGTAGAGTTGAGGGAGGCCGTATGCTATAAATGTGAAGAAATTGGACACTTAGCATCAGGTTGTGCCACCGAATACGGAATCGCAAGACCAAGAATCGGATCTTGTGGCCGTGGAGCATTGGGACCAGTCGCCACACCCTCTTGTCAGTTCAACCTACAACAAGAGCAACAACAAGAACAATTCACTGTGGACTCAGGCATGCAACAGCAAAATTCAGCAAATAGAAAGTGATCCTGGTGATAATTAAAAAAAACAACAACAAACATGGTAGCATTATAGATCTTAGACAGCACATATCCTCTCTCTAGTCTTTATCAATGTGTGGTGTGTTTATAAAATTGAGCCGCGTCATGACAAAACCAACATAATGGGTTTGCGACCAGCATCAATGCAGACGAGCCTGCGCATTCGCATCTTACCTTTGATAATTAAGTCCCTTAGAGTACCCTCCCCTGGAAATTGCAAATGGCGCTAGGATCAAAGGGAGACCATTTTTACCTTAAACTGCAAATGACGTCAATGACCATAGAGTGTACACTCTATCGTTAAACAACTAAGCCACAGCTTCCTTACAAAGAGTTACCTGCCCTGGATATTCCGAATTGCGAAAACGACCAAAAGGGAAACAACTCTTACCTTTCATAATCAAGTCAAATAGAATAAGCCTCCCCTGAAAATTGCAAATGGCGTAAGGCACAAAAGGGAAACCACTCTACATTATACATCATCGAGTCACATAGAGTAACCTCCCCTGAAAATTGCAAATGGCGTAAGTGACCAAAGGAAGCAACACTTGCATAACATAATAGAGACACTCAGAGTAACCTCCCCTGAATATTTCAAATGGCGTTCGGGACCAAAGGGAACAACTCTTGCATTACATAATAGAGTCACGCAGAGTAACTTCCCCTGAAAATTACAAATGGCGTAAAGGACCAAAGGGAAGCAAATCTTGCAATAAATATACAGCCACGCAGAGTAACCTCCCCTGAAAAATTGCAAATGGCGTAAGGGACCAAAGGGAAGCAACTCGTGCATTACATAAGAGAGTCACGCAGAGTTACCTCCCCTGAAAATTGCAAATGGCGTAAGGGACCCAAAGGGAAGCAACTCTTGCATTACATAAGAGAGTGACGCAGAGTAACCTCCCCTGAAAAATGCAAATGGCGTTAGGGACCAAAGGAAAGCAACTCTTGCATTACTATATAGAGTCACTTAGAGTAACCTCCCCTGAAAATTGCAAATGGCGTAAGGGACCTAAGGGGAGCAACTCTTGCATTCGCAGAGTAACCTCCCCTGAAAATTGCAAATGGCGTTAGGGACCAAAGGGAAGCAACTCTTGCATTACATAAGAGAGTCACGCAGAGTAACCTCCCCTGAAAATTGCAAATGGCGTTAAAGACCAAAGGGAAGCAACTCTTGCATTACAATATAGAGTCACGCAGAGTAACCTCCCCTGAAAATTGCAAATGGCGTTAGGGACCAAAGGGAAGCAATTCTTGCATTACAATATAGAGTCACGCAGAGTAATCTCCCCTGAAAATTGCAAATGGCGTTAGAGACCAAAGGGAAGCAACTCTTGCATTACATAATAGAGTCACGCA